TTAATTTTCCCAATCAATCAAATCTCGCACGACGCTTTTATTTTATTCCTTTTTAATCGCTGAATTTAATTAATCCTTGATTCCCTTTTGTCCGTCCCTGTGGAGATGATACTCGTACTTTCACCGCTATTCTACAATCTTTTAAAGTGCGAGAAAACTCACATCACGCTACTATTTTGTGCATATCCAATAAAAATACAATCCACCATTTTTGGGCCTATTTTTATTTTCTTAGGTGTTGGTACAAGCACATTTGCCAGACACCCCCACACATTTAAATATTGATAGGAAGGTCGTCTTCCTTTCCACAAATCGTAGGGAGTTTTATCATATTTTTTCGGGGAACCTTATTTAAAAGGTAATTGCTTGACAAGACTGCTTCACCCCACATATTTTGTGGCAGGCCCGAACTTACTAGCATCGCATTCATCATATCTTTCAATGTGCGATTCTTTCGTTCGGCAACACCGTTTGATTGAGGTGAATGGGGTGCGGTACGTTCATGTACTATACCTACGCTCGCGCAAAAGTCACTAATTGGTTCTTCATACTCACCACCTCGATCACTTCTAACCGTTTTAATCCGTTGATTAAGTTGGTTTTCCCCTTCATTCTTATAAAGAATGAATTTATCGATTGCTTCGTGTTTATTTTTTAATGAATAAACATAGCTATAGCGAGTGCTATCATCGATAAAAGTAATAAAATATTTATTACCGCCACGTGTTTGTAATGATTTAAAATCACAAACATCACTATGAATTAATTCAAGTGGTTCCGTTTTTTTTTTCAACCGATTTGAAAGACGTTTTGATTAGTTTTGCCTCTACACAAACTTCACATTTGTGCTTCACACCAATTGTTAATTTAGGAATGTGTTCCATGTTAATTAATCTCCTTATAGAATTAAAATTAACATGTCCTAGTCTACCATGCCACACATTGGAAGACTCAAGCAAGTAAGCAGAAGGTATTTTATTATTATTAATAATAATAGTCATTACATTGAGCTTAAACAGCCCATCACATGCATACCCCTTGCCCATTAACATTCCCGACTTAGACAAAACCAGTTTGTCCGACTCAAAGACCATGCGGAAGCCATGCTTGTTCAACAATGAGCCAGAGATCAGGTTTTTGCGTATCTCCGGAACGAACAGCACTTGGTTGAGAGTCAGCTCCTTGCCCGAAGTCATCTTCAGGACCACCTTGCCCACGCCTTCAACCGCAGAATGAGCCGAGTTTCCCATCCACACCTTCTCACCATTTGATGGCTCAAAAGTTGTGAATAACTCCCGATTTGAGCAAATATGTCGGGTTGCATCGTTGTCCACGAACCACTCTTTGGAGTTGGATCCAACGAGGTTGACCTCGGTCACCACGGCCGCAAGGATTATGTCGTCATCATTTTGCCCACCTTGCACCAAGTTGACTTGAGAGTCTTTCTTCTTTCTTGGTGCCTTGCAATCCGAGGACATGTGTCCATTCTTGTTGCAATTGAAGCATTTTCCATTAAACTTCGTTTTGGAAACGCCTCCCTTGGGACCGAGTTTGCTCTTCCCATTGTTCTTGTTTTTGGAGCCTTTTTCATGCTCCACTACGTTTGCCTTGGCACTGGTAACGATTGGGAGTTTCTCATCGTTCTTCCGGTTATCCTCTTCAATCCGCAGACGGAGGATCAATTACTCCAAGTTCATTTCCTTTCGCTTATGCTTAAGGTAGTTGTTGAAATCCTTCCAAGCCGGTGGCAAAAAATGGATAATTGACGTCACTTGGAAAGACTCACTAACTGTCATTCCTTCATCTCGAATTTCATTGAATATCATTTGCATTTCCTCAACTTGACTCAAGACCGTCTTTGAATCCACCATTTTAAAATCAAGGAATCGGCCGACAACAAATTTCTTTGCACCGGCATCCTCGCTTTTATATTTGTGGTCCCAAGCATTCCATAGCTCCTTAGCCGTAGCTAGTTTGCTATACACGTCATACAAAGCATCGTGCAGCCCGTTCAACACATAGTTTCGGCAAAGGAAGTCAGAATGCTTCCAAGCTTCAACCACGTTGAAAGATTGCGCATCCACCTCACCCCCGGTTGCTACCGGCGCATCCTCGGTCAAGAACCTCGCAAGACCGAGAGTAGTGAGATAAAGGAGCATCTTTTGTTGTCACCTCTTGAAGTTTAACTCATTAAATTTGTCGGGTTTCTCCACAGAGTTGCTTGGCACGGTAACCATAGGGATTTCCCCTTGGTTGCCCAAAGTAGATGCACCGCGTTGTGAACCATTGTTCACCGGTGCTCCACTTTCAGAGTGATTATCGTTTGGCACGTTCTGCCCACCAACATTTCCAATTTCTTGTGAAGCCATTTTAACGTTTTCCTTACATTTTCCGAAAACAGAAAAAAAATAAGTTCGTTCACCAAAGTGACAAACTACGATTTAAGATTGTATCCGTGTGATACAAGCTTGGAAAAATACGTTTTAAGATTGTTTACCGCAGTAACACAATCACGGAATACGTTTTAAGATTGTTGGTGTGTCTCGGAAAAACGAAGAAATATTAATTAATAAAAATAATTAATTAATCTAAATAGCTAAAGAAAACCAGAAATAAGATGGAACAGATTTTAGCTAGAGCTCGTGCTACGCACGATGTCCTTAAAACGTATTCGTCGCCTTGCAACGACCGTTTCCCAGGATACGGTGGCTAACGAACTAACGTTTGAGCACACAAACGAGAGTTCCGGTGAATGGGAACAAGGACCGAACACTCAAGAAATTTTCAGAGAGCTGAAGGTGTTTTTGAGAGCTAAAATACGTGTATGATTGCTTGTGAACGTGTAAGAACGTGTGTTTGTTGCAAACCACCTGCCAGCTATTTATAGGAGGATTTGTTGTGTGTTAAATGTTGTGTTAATGGACCTGAACGTTGAACATCAATGACCAGTCCGTTGGGCATTGAATCGTCTATAAACTGTCCATTTAACGCGGCATTAAAAGAGAAGAATGTTGGACATTTATTGTTGTAACGACTTAGGTATTCTGTTCCGGAAGGCAACAGAATACCTCTAAGGTCTTCTGTTCGGAAGGCACCGGAAGAGCCCAGAGGTCTTCTGTCCGGAGGCCAGCAGAAGAGCCTTGAGGTCTTCTGTCCGGAGGCCAACATAACTCCCCCACGAGGTGTTCTGTTCTGTAAGCCACCAGAATACCTCACGTGGTGTTCTCGTATGAAGCCTTCTGTCCGCAGGTGTTCTGGTATCTTTGAATGATAGATTTTTCGGATGGCATTTGTGTCCGCAGGTCGCCCGCGCACACGAGTCGCGGTTTTTCTTCTCCGTTTCGGGATTTGATCGGCACCCTCTCCCTGCGCGTAAGAGAGAGCCTTTACCTTTAGGAATCTTAACTCCTTCAAAGAGGCTTCCCTTTATAAAGGGGTGAAAATCCCTTGAGTTTTCCGGTGTGGTATAAAACACACTAGAAACTCATCATTTTCCCAGTTTTTCCATTTCAACGAGTGAACTTCGAGAATCAACTTCGCATTCACCCGTTATCCGTTTTGAGTGTACCACATATCGAATTGTAGCCCTTAACAAGGACAATCTGAAACCACTTTGACTCGACCCAAATCGGAAGTTGACCCCACTCAAATAATCGCCCCAAAATAACTATTTAATGCAATTTTTTAACACATTTTTCCAACACAAACATGTAGAACTGTTAAATGTATGTGCTAAATATATACTCCATTTTAAAAACTTGCACATTTGAGTATTATCATGTCCTCTCTTTGTCTTATTCTAAGGTTCCCGTTTTCCTTTTTTGAACACCTCATATAAAGGTTTTCATTTATATTTTAGCCTTTTAGGAAACAATTAACACTCTTAAATGTCAATTTAATTATCAAATATTAAAAATAATATATCTATAACATTACAATTATCATCAATGACTTCATTATATTATATATTCATCAAAATTATTTAACAAAATATACATGAATTACCTTATTTGATTATTTCCTAAATAACCATGTCATTTTACAATGAGAACCTTTAAGCGAGTCAGATATAGTATACGGAGTAGTATTTAATTATCTACAAACATGGGTGGATCCGGTCCTTTTCGGGGACGGTTCCGGTCCAGGACCGGGCGGTCCTAGAGGTTGCCTCTGAGGCCCATCCCCCCTTGATTCGAGACCATCACCGATATATGGTTCCGTGTCGGTCCTGGTCCCCCAGTCGGTCTCGGTTTTTTGTTTACGTTTAAATTAACTTTTCTATTTTTAACCCCCCAACTCTCCTCCCTAACCTTTTTAACTTTTAAATGGACTTATTCCTCTTTTAAAATGCTTTTTTCTTTACTTTCTCTTTTCTTATAGTATTTGTTATGTTAAATGTCAACATTCTTGACTCAGATGAGTTTTGAACCTATGACCTCCTCCTTGGAAGTGTCACATTGATGTCATCGAACCACAAGGTGCTTGACTCTTTTAAAATGGTTATAAACCTCAAAATAAAATAAAAAATTGAACTGGGACAAGACCCGTCGGTTCTGGTCTCCAAACAACCTATCTGGACTGGTGGGGGTGCACATCAGGCACCAGGTCTTTCACCCAAACTGGAAACAACAGGCACGGTATGGTCCCATGAACCGTACAATTCCGGCCCCGATCATTCCAAAACGTGGACCGAGTACACCCTTAACTACAAATATACGATAGTATATTTTATTAATCAAATACTCCCTCCGGTGCCAAATGAAATTCACACTTTCCTTTTTGGGTAGGTACAAAATAAACTTCACACTTCTTCTTTCTTCCTTATTTGGCAAATTATCTACATCAAAACAGTGCAAATCAGTGCCAAATAGTGCCACAACAGTGTACTCTACAGTAAAGTCAAATTTATTTCCTTAATTTAGTACCGGACGGAGTATCTATATTCTAAACAGGAATCTTATTGATATATAATGTTAGAAACCGATAATAGATCCAAGTACTTCAGAGATCAAAGGACATCATATTGTATAATTTCATGAAAGGATCCCCAACATTATTGCATATAGTAAAATGCCACGGTACAAGCACCCACATAAGAGAGTTACACGCCCTCAAGAGTACAACATAGCACACCTACATATAATTATGATAAAGATGGAACAATCAAAGCACAAGACAAACGGTGAAGATATCAAACTCGAAATATAATAATTATAAGTGGAGCTATTATATCAATTATTAAGAAGCGGAAACGTTGTTCTGCTTGATGATCAAGTACCGAACCTTTCTCCAAGCAGGCCTAGTCAAGAGATTAATAACCCAAGCAGCAACATTTGAACGTGCTTCAAAAAGAACTTTGACTTTAGTACGCATGAGGTGATATATGAGAGGTGTGTGGTGAAGATCAACCAATGTGAAAGAATTCCCAGCTAAGAATTTTGACACCTTAAGTCGTTCCTCGTACACGTCAAGAACCTTGGCGAGTGCTTCCTCGTGTTCTGTCACCGCTGCTTTGTCCGTCACCATGCCGCGCATGGGCTTTATGGCAAGTTCATGGTTCAGCTTAGACCCGGCTTCATTAAAATGGTTAGCCTCAACCTCCATCCACAATGACATTGTGTCCATTGTTTTATTGTCTAAGGGGATAAGCTTGCTCCCACAATTGGCATACATGTGTGCAATGTATTGGGTGATTGCTCTTGACTCTATAAGATCACACAATGTTCACAACATATATGTTTTGATTATAAGATGATAATAAGCATCAATTACTTTATGCACAATGCATTAAAAGCACTGATTTGAAAATCTAATTCAATTCATTAGTTGATGTAGAATTCAATTTCATCTCCTTAAAAGGTTGGTCAAACTCATATAAGGAGTCTGCATTTTATACCATTCAATGTTTTATAATGTTCGAGTTTGCATTTTTATATTTGGATAGTGTGAGACGGTTTAACATGCACCATAATTAAAAGGTAAACAACATATAAGAGTAGCCTAAAGTTTTACACAAGTTACGTGAGTGTAAAATGTGTTAACAAAATGCAAAGCCTTCAAAACAGATTAATCTCTTTAGTTTTTTGAAATACAACTTTAAGTTTTGGTGTTTGTATTCGTTTCTTCTTGTGGACATGCGATCTTTCGTTTAGAATAACGATGCGCCGGAAATACGATCACAAAAAGAAATGAAATAGAATAACTTACTAAATAAAAAATGATATATAGATGCTATGTGTGTAAGCTAAGGTAAATGTGATGATAAGTTTTTGGTGGAATAACTGCTTCAAATACCACCCGTCCCAAAAAAGTTTGTCATATTGATTTTTCTTGATCAATAATGACAAACTTTGGACAATAGTTGTAATTATTATATTTGTAGAATATTATTGGTCTTATGCTTGTCTATGCAACTAGACAAGGAACGGGAAACGTAAAACATCACATTTTAATAATAAAAAAACTGTTTAGAGAATTTCCAAAGAATTCGGGAGATTCTGAGAAACACACAAGCTAAGCACTTTTTTGAGAGTTTTGGTGCTTCATAACTGCTTAGAAAACAACAATAATTGTTCTAAAGTGTAGGTATATAATGTGCATCATTACCAAAGAGCTTCAAATCTCCATCCTCGAAGGCGGGAACTTGACCAAATGGCTGCCGCAATAATCAACCGAAGACAGGAGAAATGAATTAGCACATACTACCAATTCATAGAAATTCATTAAATATTGGGAAATTAATTAAACTCTTTAGTAGAGTTGGTTGAACTTACATTCAGTCGGAGGAAAGGTTCTTTTTTGTGCTCTCCAGCCTGCAAATTAACCGGGACAAGTTCGTATTTGAGCCCCTTCTCTTCGAGGCAGACTATAACTCTCAACGTAGCCGGTGTGGCTAAACTGCCGTGGATCTTAAGTGCCATCTTTTCCGTTAACTTAATTTAAATTTAGCTGGGAAAGAAATGGGATTTTAGAGTGCCAAGTTTAGCATCGGTCACGGTGCGTTGTTTATAGACTTAACTTATTGTTGACCCCAACCTCTTTGGTTTCCCATTGCAACAAGGCAAGCATCTTTCTTGAAATCCTTAACCCCTCCCCTCTTAGCTTACTTTCGCTTTTAATTTCAAGGCTAATTCCTGTTCAAAATTCATTACTTCAATCTCACCAATATTCCTTTGACACCTTGATTCAGACTTGGAATCATCTCAGATTTTATTTTTCATACATATGGCCTTTTGACTAGTGTTTACATTTAGCATTTCTTCTATGCTTCAAATCATGATTATAAATTCAGATTGATTGCACGAAATTGATGTCTATTTGAAAGACCGAGACCACACATTGAACAAATTAATATGATACTACGTATTAGGTAATGTCATTCTTTGTGATAAGTTCCATGTCTTGAAAATTTGTGAAAATGAAGCTCAATTTGTAATACGTAGTATGAAACAGGGAGTCAAAACTAAGTATGGTCAAGTAGGTTTATGTAATTAAAGGGTAAAAAAGAAGCTATTTGAGGATTAGGGTTTATCTATAGCCAAAAAAATTCTTCTCACTTATTATTTTTTGGAAAGTTTTGTGTCACTAACATTCTTTTACATTTTTCTAACTCAACTCAAACCTTGCATTTACACTTTATTCCATTTTTTTAATAATTGTGTCAAGTCAAAGTTGGAAGTATTTTTTTGAGACAGAGGAAATGCATATATAGTACTCCATCCGCCCCCCTATAATAGTCCCATTTTTTTATGTCCCGCTAATATTGTCTCATACCATATTTGGTAACATTTGTGTGGCTCTAATTGATTCTTACTTTATTCCCAATGTTGAGGTTTATTATGTCAATCTGAATGCCCAACACGTACTCTTGGATCTCGAGTGGATGATTTGGTGAATTAGATGATTAAACAAGCAAGGAATGGGTCAAATATTTCGTAGTAAGTGGGTCGTATCTTATTAAATGATAATAAGGGTCCGTATACAACACACTTCACTACAAAGCCCCGAGGCCGTTCATCTATCGCTATGCTATGAGCTGATATAATTGATATTTACTAAGAGTGCTAAATTGTCAACCCTTTACAATGAAATAAATGTTACTATTTATATTATAAAGGGGTAGGTAGAGTTGCTGAAATTTTTTATATGCACATTTCTGTTGTACTTGATGCACAATGCCAAAATCCAAAGCTCTAGAATCATTCTCATTTCTCACATTAAGAAGTATTCTCATTTGATCCTTACTCTATTAGTATATTTAATATATATAATATAAATTAGTATATAATACCGATTGGTAAATGTATATAAGGATCGAGGAGATATTATATTTTCCATTCTCATAACTCTAGTTTCAGTTAAATAAACATGGTTTGATCATTTTTTATTTATTTTGGACAATATTTGCTCTACTTTTAGTTGTTGGGCATGTAAATTTCAATTTGCAAATACTAAGCACAAATATTCAAAGATTGTTTCATACTTGAGCTCGAGTTCGAACCTGAACTTTCGAGCTAATCGAACTTGTAACATTTGAGTTGACGAACCAAAATTATCGAGCCGAGTCGAGCCATGTCAATATTTGCGAGTCGAGCTCAAGCCCGGATTTTTTAAACTCGTTCGAGCCGAGCTTGAGCTGGAGCCAATACAATATATTTCGAGCTCGAGCTCAAGCTTACATAAACTCGGGTTCGGCTCGTTTGCACCCCTAGTCCTCATATGCTTTGACTGATATCTTGGTGTGATGCCCTTGATGGACCAAGGACATACCTACGAGCAGATCTATGTGGGTAGAGGACGAGCGTCCACTGAGGGCAAGTTCTGTGTCCTATGCATGTCAAGACTTTGGATCCCTGTAGGTCCTCTCGCCCAAGTTGGACCGGACTATGAGGAGGAGTGTCTGTCTTCAGATGGGCTCCGAGGGGCTCCCCTGTTAAGGGTTAATGGGCCGACTTGTGCATTGGGCCATTAACCCAACACAAGTCCCTCACTTCTGATGTTCCGAGCGTATGCAGAACATAAGGAAGTATAAGCATTTCCCCTACGTTGTATGTCTTGGTGGGAAACAATGTGACGGTTCATGTAGGCGCCTCCCAATTTTCGAGGTGGAAGTTACGGCGTTGCTCCAACTCCAAAGGTAAAGGTCATCATTACGCGCCTGTTGATCTCCGCACGACACGTGTCCTGGGATACGCTCCTCGCCACGCGTCGCCTCCTGATTGGTCCAGTGTGCGGTGAAAACCCATATAAATACTGGAACCTCTGAATAGTTTAGGGTTTCCAAACTTTTCCTTTCTTGCTCTCCGTTTTTGGCAGATCTTCCGCTCAGCGCTTCCTGGTTTCCAGTCCTTAGTTTTCTTTAAAGGTAACTTCGTCTTCTAACTCCTTTTATTTTTCTTTGGATTTGTTAATGGCGGATCTTGAAGCGGCCATGAGTTTCGGTTCTTCTTCTGGTTCTGGGTCTTCATCCTCGGGTTCCGGATCTGAATCCCGCTCGGATAGTGGGGCGAGTTCCTCTGGTAGTTCCAGGAAGTTAGTTGCATTTGGAACGCTCATTAATGATGCCGCAGGCGCTGCTCAAGAAGCAAACGTTCAGGGAGATGTCGCACACGTTGTTCAGGTAATGGGCGTTCATTGATTGAGATGCCACCGAGCCCAATGACGAGGGTATCGACTCAGGCGACGAAGCATACGATGGTGATGACCTGACGGTATATGAACAAGGCATGCCTCAGGACGGCATTCCGCGCCACATCGTGCCTCTACAGAATGCCCACGGGATTGACCAGTCTTTCTCTGATAAGTGGTGTGTAGCATATAATGGGCACACAACTATTTTTTTTTTTACCCAAGGAAGTAGGGTGTCGAACCACAGAGAAGCGGGAAATAAAATAATTAAGCACAAACTAAGGATTAAAGTTGGGAATGCGTTTCTTTTGATTTTTGTTTACTTGGAAAAGTAATTAAATAAAAGTGATTGAGAGAAGAGACTTTTATCAACACAAAGTTCAACCAATAGCAAGTAGGGGTAGAAATTGGCAACTAATTGTTCAATGCTCATTTGTAAGACATAATTGCTAATTTTATTCTTAGATAGATTGTGAGAAGTTGTAGATAAATATTTTAGGACCCAACACAAGTCACCTAAAATAAGTAACCAGTCAACATTTCCCAGTGATGGCCAAAACGAGACTAGTTGTTTAAGTGCAACGACAACTTTAATTATTAACTATATTATTTACCCAACCCCGTGGTGTAAATAATATAATTAAATAATTAAATTCTCCCGTAAAACTTCAATCCGGGACAAGGTAAAAGAAGTTTAACGGTGTGTTCAGAAAGTGTTCATTTGTGTATTTAACAAACAATATGTTTATGATTGAGTACTCATAATATATATCACAAACACAACATAATTAAGTTTCTGGACACAACAATCTAAATAGAACAAACTTAACAATTAAAATCCATACAAATTAAAACATGATAAGAACAATTAATTAACCAATTTCTAGCCCCAAATTTATTTAGCTATACATGTTGGGAAACATAGAAATAGATGAATCCATGATTAAAGTACAAGATTTAATGAGATAAGAAAGATCAAACTTGTGATAGATGACAATCCTTGGAGCTTTGATGCTAATCTTGACTTAATCTTGGATGAGAAAGTGATTAGTTATGGTTGAAGATGGGTTGATGATTTGGGGTTGAGAAATGAAGAGAGAAGGAGGAGGAAATGTTTCTGGGATGTTTAGAGAGAGGTTGGTCCGAGCTTATCTGTGGAGGAAGATGGATTAAGGCAATATAATGATAAGGTGATTAATCATTAATTGCTGGGATTTACGGAACAGATGAGTTTATGTACAACAAAGCGCAGTAAAGTTTCAACAGTGGCAGGTAGCTCAACGGATAAGCACTTCAGGGGAAAACTCGGAGATTGTGGGATTGATTCTCGGCTTCAACATTTTGTTCTTTTCTTTGCCGCGTTCAGAAGGAATATAACAATTGCCAGCTGAATATGTACAACATTGATCACCTAGCACACTGGTTGTAGTAGACATTCTTCTACCTTTTCTCTAGGGATCGAATCCCAGCTCCACCATTTTTATTTTTGCTTCTTTTCTTCAATTTACTCCTTATTTGTTTTGAAGGAAATTCCACTTTTATTGACCTCCAACTTGAACTTTTATTTTCTTCTTTTGTTCACTCTAATGTATCCAAATAGCATCAAAAGTACCTGAAAATACAAAATACCCGTGTAGGACTGCACAAGTACAAACTAACGACAAATTATAAAAATATGTACAAAAGTAGAATTTTAATAACTAAAATTAACAACAAACTAAGCCTAAAAAGTGTGTAAAATACAAGTACATCAATAAGGCTCTGTGGGAGATGGCATTGTACCTTCCCTCACCGTTTGTCTACAGCCTAAAAGGGGTCACACATCCGCTGAGGAGGCATTCGGGATGCTGATGGTCCATTTAGATTCAATCAAGGCAGGGCTACGCTTCCCCCTCCATCCATTCTACCTCGCACTATTCCAGCGATATCAGGTCGTCCCAGCACAGTTCATGCCGAATTCATTTCGGTTTTTCTTGACCTTCATTACGCGATGCTTGAACAATGGCGTCGTGCTAAATCTCGATCTTTTCATTCTTCAAGGTCTCCCCCCAGAACTCCGATGGGTTCTTGAGTGTCAGTGCTCGACCCGGCCAGAGATTGTTCCATGGAGCCCCAACCTCCATCCACGACTGGAAGCATCGTTTTTTCTTCCTCCAATTTCCTGATGGGTCAATTCCCCGAACGGTGGAATGGATACCCTCCAAAGATAGGTCCACCCCGCCTGACGGACAAGTTGGAGAATAGTATCAATAAACTGAAGATGGGCGGCTCCGCACACTTGGAATCTGTTCTTACTTTTGGGGCGCTCACAAATGCAGAAATAGGTACCGCTCGTGTCTCTAGAGCGATACTGCCCTTGCTGATCGTATCTAGGGCCCGGGCGATGCTGCCTCTGTTCTGCGAGCATCCTTTGAGACTACCGCCCGGTTCTAATATTTTCTTTTGTTTCATG